GCCTTCGGCCGCAGGATCGTCTGCCTCGTCGACGACATGTCCCTCGCCCTGGCTATTGGCAAGGGACGGGGCGCCTCGCCGCAACAGCGGAGCGTTCTCCGTGAGATCTGTGCGCTCTCGCTTGGGTGCAAGCTGCACGTCATCGCTCGATGGATTCCGAGCGAGCTCAACCCCTCAGATGGGCCATCCCGCGGGCTGCCCTACATCAAGGCAATCGAGTCCGAGGTCGCTTCTGGGCTTGGTGCTCGTCTGTTGCGCGATGCAGGCCCAGGCGGGAAGGCGCCCGCGGGCGGCGAAGCCTCCGATGCCGACGGGGCGAGCGGCCGATATCCTGCCCGTCCTCCAGGCGCCTGGCTCTGGCATCCCCATGGCGCCCGTGCCGGCGGCAGCGGCAGCCCGTCAGCGCGAGGCCCTCCGTGGCTGCCTGATGATGGGCTTGGCGTACCTCGAGCAGCGGTCCGTCGACGAGGCCACGCTCGCCGACTACCAGAGGCGCGCCTCGGCGTTCATCCAATGGTGTCGCGAGCTCCACCTGGACCGGAGCGAGTGGCAGCAGCTCGACTCGATCGTGGTGATGCATTTCGACTACCTCTACTTCCAGGGCCGCAGCGGGGACGATGCTTCTCGCCTCCTTGCCGCGTTGAAGTTCTTCCTGCCGCCGATCGGGCGTTGGGGCGACCAGGTGCTCTACCGTGCATCGCGCGGCCTGGCGGGCTGGGGCAAGTGCGTCCCTCGGCGGGTGCGCATGCCGCTGCCGTGGCTGCTGGCGGCAGCACTGGCGGGGGCGACGCTGCAGCGCGGACAGCTGGAGCAGGTCATCGCCATGATCCTCAGTTTCGCCTGCTACCTGCGCCCGTCGGAAGCCGACCTCCTCACCGCGATGCAGATCGCCCCGCCCGTCGAGGCGGCCGCCGGGGGCTCGGGGCTCGCCGCGCTGCTGCTGCATCCAGGCGGGCTGGGCCGCCCGGGGAAGACAGGCCTGTGCGACTTCACGATCGTCCTCGACACCTTCGCGTTCTTGACCCCAGCTCTTCTGAGCCTCAAGCGGCGGGCGGCCTCGCCGACAGCTCGGCTCTGGTCGTTCCCTCCAGGCTCACTGGGCACGTGCATGAAGGAGGCCGCCTGCGCGCTGGGCCTGAACGACTTACCAGTCCCAGCGTGCGGGCTGCGCCACGGAGGAGCCTCCGACGACCTCCTCTCCAAGAGGCGCCAGGCTCTCGAGGTGCAGCAGCGGGGCGGTTGGGCCTCCGATCGCAGCTTCAAACGGTACGCCAAGCAGGCGCGCATCATCACGGAGCTGCAGCGGCTGGGCCCAAGGATCATCGCCTACGGCCAGGCGATGGACGCCGCCCTCTCCGACATCTTCCTCAAGGGGCGCGCGGTGCCCGCGCCCAGCCTGACCTTGCGCGGGCAGTAGAGCCCGCCGCCGACGGCGAGGGGAGGCTTTCGAAAGCAGTCATTCTTCGCCACCTTCTCAGAGAGCTCCACCACAGCTTCAAGCGTCAGAAGGGCTCCCCTCGCACGGATCTGTTCGCTGGTACAGGCCGCCTGTCGGCGGCGCTGCGGCGCAAGGGCATCGCCGCGTTGCCGATGGACTTCGCTTCAAAACCGTGGTTTGGTCTCGACCTGCCTGTCGTCCGTCAGACGCTCAGAGGTTGGATTCGCGGGGGCGTCTGCGCTGCTGCCTGGATCGCCCTGCCGTGCAGCTCGTGGAGCCAAGCCCGTCATGGGCCGTTTGGGTCGTCGTGGTGCTCGATACGGTCTCGGGAGCACGTCTGGGGCCTCCCGGGACTTACGAGCAGGCCTCGCGCGGCCGTGCGTGGAGCTAGGCAACCACCAGCTGAGGTTCGTCTTGGGCGTCATTTCGGTGTGCCGCGCGCGTGGGGTGCCCGTTTTGCTCGAGAATCCTGGGACCTCTTGGATGTGGCGGACTCCAGCTATGCAGCGGCTGCTTGAGGCTCCCGATGTGGCGATCCACGACCTTGACATGTGCTCGTTCGGCGCGCGCTGGCGGAAGTACACAAGAGTGGCCTGCTGGGCCCGCCATCGTCCTGATACCGCCGTGGTGACTCGCTGTAGCTGCAGGAGAGGTTTGTGCTCTTTTTCGGGGAAGCGCCACATCATCCTCTCTGGCCTCGACGCCATTTCAGGGTTTCTCTGGACCCGCATCGCCGAAGCGTACCCATTGAAATTTTGTAGATTTCTCGCCGATTATATCGCGAGGATGTCTGGTTTTCAGGGGTTTACGTATGGTTTCCCTGGCTTGTCCTATGTCCAGCATGTCTATTTGACTTTAGCTTGTTAATGTTTCTCTCGGCGTCGTGTTCGCCGCACCTTCTCCTCTCGGGTTCGGGTCTCCTCCTCGGTGGTGTGTTGGTGCTTTGGTCTTTGGTCCCTGGTCTCCCTCCTCCTCCTGTCTGTCCGTGTCGTTCGCTCGTTGCCGCGCCCTTCGGTGGAATCGCCCGGGACGCCCGCCACACAGAAATTTGGGGTGGCCTGGGGTGGTGCTGGAGATGGCTGTGTTGGCACGACGTTTAATCTCTTGTGAACCGAAGGCCGTCGCGGTGGCGCGTTGCTCTCAAGTTGTCGTCGATCCGCACCGCGACTGCTCAAGTCTCTTTTTCTGGCCCGCCCTCCTCTCCCTCTTCTCTCCTTTTCTCTCCTCCTCGGTGGTGTGTTGGTGCTTTGGTCCCTGGTCTCCCTCCTCCTCCTGTCTGTCCGTGTCGCTCGCTCGTTGCCGCGCCCTTCGGTGGAATCGCCCGGGACGCCCGCCACACAGAAATCTGGGGTGGCCTGGGGTGGTGCTGGAGATGATGATGATGCTGATGATGCTGCTGATGACGATGCGGTTGATGATGATGAGGACGGTGATGATGGTGATGGTGATGATGACGATACTGATGATGTTGTTGATGATGATAATTCTGATGCTGATGATTATGATGACGATACTGATGATTATGATTATGCTGATGCTGATGACGATGATCATGATGCTGTCGATGATGATGATGATGCTGATGATGATGATGTTGATGCTGATGATGCCGATGATGATGATCATGATGATGATTACAATGATGATGCTGATGCTGATGCTGATGATGATGATGACGATGATGAGGAGGAGGAGGAGGAGGAGACGGAGGATGAGGAGGAGGATGAGGATGAGGATGATAATGAGGAGCAGGATGATGATGATGAGGATGATGAGGATGATGATGACGATGGTGCTGCTGCTGATGAGTATGATGATGACGCTGATGATGATGGTGCTGATGATGATGATGATGATGATGATGATGCTGATGCTGATGACGATGATGAGGGTTATGATGATGCTGCTGATGATTTTGATGATGTTGATGATGCTGATGATGCTGATGATGTTGTTTTTGATGATGAGTATGACGATACTGATAATCATGATGATGATGATGCTGATGCTGATGCTGCTGATGATGATCATGATGCTGCTGATGATGATGATGATGCCGATGATGATGCTGCTGATGATGACGATGATGCTGATGATGATGATGAGGAGGAGGAGGAGGATGGTGATGACGAGGATGAGGAGGAGGAGGAGGAGGAGGACAAGGAAGAGGAGGAGGAGGAGGAGGGTAGTGGTGGTGGTGGTGTTGATTATGATGCTGATGCTAATGCTGATGATGATGGTGATGATGAGGATGATGGTGATGATGATGATGATGGTGATGGTGATGATGATGGTGATGATGATGACAATGATGATGCGGGGGATGAGGGTGATGATGATGCTGATGATGAAGATGACTATTTCGATGAAGACGGGAACGAAGGCGACTACGAAGATGATGTTGATGATGATGATGTTGATGCTGATGCTGATGATGATTATGATGATAATGATGATGATGACGATGATGATTCTGATGCTGATGATGATGACGTCGATGATGATGATGATGATGGTGATGGTGATGTTGATGATGCTGATGCTGATGCTGATGATGATGATGATGATGGTGGTAGTGGTAGTGGTGGTGGTGATGGTGGTGTTTCTGATGATGGTGATGGCGGTGGTGATGATGATTATGGTAAATGTGATTGTGACGATGGTGATGACGATGATGGTTGTGGTGCTGATGATGATGATGGTGATTGTAATGGTTGTGGTCAAGATGTGATGATGAGGATGATGATGCTGATGATGATGATGATGATGATGATGGTAGTGGTGGTAGTGGTGGTGGTGGTGGTGGTGATGGTAGTGTTTCTGATGATGGTGATGGCGATGGTGATGATGAGTATGGTAAATGTGATTGTGACGATGATGATGACGATGATGGTTGTGGTGCTGATGATGGTGATGGTGATGGTAATGGTTGTGGTCAAGATGATAATGGTGATATTGAGGATGATGATGCTGATGATGATGATGCTGATGATGATGATGAGTTTGCGGACGGTGATGGGGATTTTGATGATGATGTTGATGCTGATGTTTCTGATGATGCTGACGATGGTGATGCTGCTGCTAGCGACGGTGACGATGAGGGTGAACTTGATGATGGTGATGATGAATGTGAGGGTGAGGGTGAGGGTAGTGAGGATGAGGATGAGCATAACGATGACGATGATTATGCTGAGAACGATGCTGCTGATGATGATGATGCTGATTATAATGAGGATGATGATGACGACGGGTGTAAGGATGCAGGTGAGGGTGCGGATGAGGGTGGTGATCATGATGCGGTTGGTGTTGATGTTGATAATGATGTTGATGATGATGACGACGACGATGATGATGGTGATGATGAGGATGCGGATGAGGATGAGGCTGATGCTGATGATGAGGATGATGATGATGAAGATGATGAAGATGATGATGATGATGATGATGATGATGATGATGATGATGATGATGATGGCAATGAGGAGGATGACAATGAGGAGAAGGAGGAGGAGGAACACGGTCGTTGCGCATTTCTTTTGCGGGGTTGGGATGACGCGCTCAGGCGCCGTGAAGGCCGCTGCCGCGGAGGCCGCGGAGGCCAGGAGCTACCTGATGGAGGAGCTCGCTGTCCTCCCCCCCCGCCGTCATCGCGCACCGCCTTGCTCTTCCCTGAGATCTGGGCGTTGTTGGCAGGCTTTGGGGCCCAGGACCATCACATCTTTGTCCGGCTCGCAAAATGTTGCAGAAAGATGTGATCTACACCTTAGGCGATGCTTAAGAAAGCCCAAGTTTTCGGCCAGAGTCTCGATTATTCTTAACGTTTCAATGTAAATCTTAAGAATTTGATAGAAATCTTCGGTTTTTGTTCAAGTTCTGAGACTATGAATTTCTTAACCCATGATTTCTTAAGCACTTCGCGGGGTGTAGGGTCTTGGTCGTCTATTCTCCGTGATGATACTTTTCTCCACATCCCGCCTATGGTCTTTTTTGTCTGTTCCCTTATCCCAATGATGAGGGTCTCGTTATTACTGGGGAGCTCAACACATCCGCATCACTCATGTTCATTCTTTCTCACACTCAGGCTCACTCACGCTCAGACTCTCACAGTCAGAACACTCAGCTCACACTCACATCACTAGCCGTTCTGGCTCAGGTATCCTGAGGTTGTTTCAACCGACGCTTCAGAACGGCTGAGTTAAAACAGGCTCGACATTCAGCAGTTATCATTCCTTATTCAGCTCTTCTTCAATGGGGCCCAAATCATGGGGTCACCAAGTGGAGTGGAAGAAATTTGTCCCCTGTATACATGGAGATACGGACCCCCAGAAGCAAGGGTTTACCATGTCTTGGTGGTCGTGCTCCATAGCAAGCATCCTTGGAGTCAATGCGAATAGTGTTGGAGCTGGCGCGCTACCTCGTCCTTCGAGTCATCGCCTGCCCCGCGGGGTGTGTGGGCATCTTTCCCGCCTGGCTCCTGGTCTTTGCATCCTTTTCGCCTTGGGCCTCTTTTTCCACATGTGGTCTGATGGTGATGTAGTAGTTATTGCTCTCTCCCCGCTCGTTCCATGCCGCCGCCCACTGCCGACGCCGCTGCCCCGCAGCAGCCAAATTCGGATCAGGCCTGGATCGCGCGCCGCCCGCGCGCGAGAGAAGCGGTGGAGGGGGGAGATTGCTGTGTTTTCTTTCTTCTATCCCCTGTTTCACTGTTCTTGTTCATCCATGTTAGTGCTTAGCGGATCCACCATGAGCTTTGAGACCCAGAATATACCAACCTCGTTCAACCCCAATTCCGCCAGGAGTAGCGATTCTCTGGCGAACGATTGGCAATCAGCCGAAATGGCGGACAGCATCCGTGATGGATCAGACGCGTTGGCGACTGCAGTCGCTTCCAACAACGGGATGGTTCATAGGTCGTTGATAATTTGATTGGTATTCTCCCTTGAGTGCAATTGTTCTTGCCGTGGACAGGGGCCCACCGCTTGTGCAGCCCTTACAAGAGGGGTATGGCACGTCACGTGAGTTATCAGTGATTGTGAAAGAACTTTACGTTACGTATGACATTTCATCGATTAAAAAGTAAAGTTGTTCTCGACGTTTCCCAAGCAGGCTATGAGATAAACCGCGCAGTGGGAGCTCCTGGGTCGAAGCGTCCTAAGTCACCCGAGTACGCAGTCATGGATGAGCGTTGCTTGATTGACAACCTTGAGAAAATATAGAACTTCCGTTCAAGGCAGTGTGACCCCCTGTTGAGAGTCAGAGCCATTTGCCACTACCGACCCCGAGTTCATCTCACCGCAACGGCGGAATGGGAAGGCTATTCCCGTCAAGGTCCCTTTTTCGCGTATAGGCAGCGGTCCAACTCCAGGAGCAGTGTAGGGTTTTTGCGGGGCATCTTCACAGTTTTCTGTTGTTGTCAAAGCTGGATGTTTGGCCAACACTTCGGGATGCTATCCCACAGCTGGGAATAGTTTTGGGCCACAATGATCGTGTCAGGGGCCCGTTTTTGCAGGGTGCTCGCGCGCCCGTCGATTTTGGAAAGAGCGCGTTCTGTGGTCGTTTGGAGGGGGAGGGGCCCCCCCCTGGATGGAGGGGGGGGGTTCGACCCCCCCCCTCCCGTGACGGAGGGGGCGGGGGTGTGTTTCGACCCTTCCCCCTCCCCCCCCCTCCCTTCCTACTCTGTTTCCCCTCTCCTCGTGCCGGCGCTTGCGTCGGCGGTGGCTGGCGGCGGCGGCGGCGGGAACGACGAGTTCCTTTTCTGGCCGGCGCCGGCGCTGGCGGCGGCGAGCGGCGGCGGCGGCGGGGAGCGTCGACGGTGGTGGTGGTGGTGGGTTGTGGTGGTGGTTGGTGTGGTGCTGGTTGTGCTGGTGGTGGTGTGGTGGTTTGTTGTGGTGGTGGTGGTGGTGCTTGTGGTGATGGGTCGTGATGGGTGGTGATGGTGGTTTGGTGGTGGTGCGGTGTTGGTTTGTGGTGGTGGTGGTGGTGGGTTGTGGTGGTGGTGGTGGTTTGGTGGTGGTGTGGTGGTGGTTTGTGGTGGTGGTGGTGGGTTGTGGTGGTGGCGGTGGTTTGTGGACGTGGTGGTGGTTGTGGTGGTGGCGGTGGTGGTGGCGGTGTGGTGGTTTGTTGTGGTGGCGATGGGTTGTGCTGTTACAGTGGTGGTGGTTGTGGCGGTGGTAGATTGTGGTGGTGGTGGTGGTAGATCGTCGTGGTGGTGGTTTATGGAGGTGGTGCTGGTGGTGGTGGTGGCTGTCGTGGTGGTGGTGGTGGTGTGGTGGTTTGTGGTGGTGGCGGTGGGTTGTGCTGCTAGAGTGGTGGTGGTTGTGGCGGTGGTAGATTGTGGTGGTGGTGGTGTGGTGGTGGGTTTTTGTGGTGGTGGTTGTGGCGGTGAGTTGTGGTGGTGGTGGTTATGGAGGTGTGGTGGTGGTGTGCTGGTGGTTTGTGGCGGTAGCGATGGTAGTGGGTTGTGGTGGTGGCGGTGGTTTGTGGACGGGGTGCTGGTGGTGGTGGTGGTGGCGGTGGTGGTCGTGGTGGTGGTTGTGTGGTGGTTTGTGGTGGTGGTGGCGGTGGATCGTGCTGCTAGTAGCGGTGGTGGTTGTGGCGGTGTTGGTGGTGGTTTGGTAGGTTGTGGTAGTGGTGGTGGTGGTGGTTGTGGTGGTGGTGGCTGTCGTGGTGGTGGTGGTGGTGGCTGTGTGGTGGGTTGGTGGTGGTGGTGGTGGGTTGAGGCGGTAATCGTCGCTGCGTCCCCACCGTCGCCGGCGCCAGCGCCGGCGCTGCTGGCCGCCGCCAACGCCAGCGCCGGCGCCAGGGGGGGGGATTTGAACGCCCCCCCCCCTGGCGCCCGGGAAGGGGGGGGTTTAAATTGAACCGCCCCACCCTTGGGTTGCCTCTGGTCATCGTTGCTGCGTCCCCGCCGTCGGCGCTGCTGGCGGCCGCCAGCGCCGGCGCCGGGCCGGCGCGGCTCCGGGGGGGGGTGTTCGGGAGGGGGGGGGGGGGGGAGGGGGGGGGGGTTGGGGGAGGGGAGCCCCCTGCGGTTTCGATCACCGGCGCCAAGTGTTGGGGGGGGGCCCGCCCCCCTGGTTCGAAACGCGCCGCCGAATGTTCCCATTGCAACCGGCCGTGAAACGCGTTCTCTTTCAATTTTGTAGTCTCAACTGGCTATGCTATGAATGCCTGGGCACGGAAGAACACGGCTGCCGTCGCCGCGCGCTTTGGAGTGGCAGCAAGCAGAAGCAGAGAACGTGCGAGTGAACGAGAAAATTGCGAGGGGGGCTGAATGCGACGGCGCAGGCTGACATGGTTGAAACAAGACGAACGTATCTGGAGACTGTACTATGAAGGGGAGCTCTATCAACAAGCAGCCAGACATGCGCAGCTCAATCAGACTAAGGCTCCGGAGGCAGCCTATAGAAATCTGTCCGAGGCAGAGCAGCGCAAGAGAGAATTTGACGGACTGAACTGAATATCCAAGAGACAACGAGACGAGAGGCAGAGGAACTTGTTGCGAAGGGTACACGCATGCAGCAGATGGTGTATCTCGCCGAACGAGAGGTGATATCATCTCACGGACAGGCAGAGAACGCGTTCAGGCTGCAGCCAATATGCAGCACGCGAGAGAAGAAGCCATATCGATGATGCATCAGATGAGCACTCGGTAACCGCAAGCCGTCAATCGCGCAGAACAGGCAAATGCAGAATTGCAACTGGTCGGTGAAAATCTCACGCGCCAGAACGAAGCGCAGTCAAACTCGATCTCATTGGTCCCGACCGCCATGGCGACGCAGAAGAGTGCGTCTTCTTCGGGGGATGATAGGTTGAGGGGAACGGTGTCTGAAGCTCCGCTTCAGATGCTGGGGGCCTCCCCCGCCGCGCTCCTGAAACGAGACCACAGCTGCGTGTTGCGATGGCTCTGGGGAACCCATTGGAATGACATTTTGTTAGCAATCGCAAAATGGCAGATTGCATGCAATGTTCTACGCCGCGTTGCAATGATCATGTAGGCCATGTAGCGAGACGCTGCAGGCGCCGCGTTCGACGCAAGTCCGAGGCTGAGGCGGACGCAGACAGGAGACGTCAAGAAGAAGAGCGCTGGCGTTCGCAACAGTGGGGGGGGCAAGTGCGCGCGGCAAACGTCATGCAATCACAAGAGGAGATCCTGATGACCATGCGATGGGGGCGCGAAGCATGGGAGAGGGCCAAACGCGATGATTTACGTGAAAACGTTGCCGAACCATTTGGCCAGGTAATATTAGAATGCGATCAGTTAGAACGGACGGGGAAGCGATGCGAGGTAATCCGGATATTCCCCGAGTTCTTTAATCCGCCCGAAGAATCTTCAGTCAAATTGCTTTCTGCGCTGGAAGATCGCTCGAGATGGAGGCGGCGGCCCGAGTGGGCCCCGCCGGGGTGGCGGCGATGGCGGAAGGGGTCGGTGATCGGCAGGAACGCGTCGCGCGAATGGGAGTGGAAGGCTACCGGGGTCATTTCATCAGCTTCGTCAGATGCGCCAGGTGCTGTGTCGTGGATTGCGCCGGCCATGGGTCCTGAGGTCGATGGGGAAGTTTGCGTGCAGAAATCTGGCCGATACGAACGCATCGACATGCTCATCCCTTTTGATCCCGCCG